GGCCAACAAACATATGAAAAAATGCTGAACATCTCTAATCATCAGGGAAATGCAATCAAAACCACAATGAGATATCACTCAACTCCAGTGAGAATGGTCTTTATCAAAAAGTCCCCAAACAGGCCTGGCGCGTGGCTCACGCCTGTAATCCTAGCTCTCTGGAGGCCGAGGCAGGCGGATTGCTCGAGGTCAGGAGTTCGAAACCAGCCTGAGCAAGAGCAAGACCTGTCTCTACTATAATAAAAGAAATTAATTGCCAACTAATATATAGAAAAATTAGCCGGGCATGGTGGCACATGCCTGTAGTACAGCTTACTTGGGAGGCTGAGGGCAGAAGGATTGCTTGAGCCCAGGAGTTTAAGGTTGCTGTGAGCTAGGCTGATGCCATGGCACTCACTTAGCCTAGGCAACAAAGTGAGACTCTGTCTCAAAAAAAACAAAAAAAAAAAAAAAAAGTCCCCAAACAATAAATGTTGGCGTGGATGCAGAGAGATAGGAACACTCCTGCACTGCTGGTGGGACTGCAAACTAGTTCAACCTCTGTGGAAAGCAATATGGAGATACAAGTAGATCTACCATTTGATCCAGCAATTCCACTACTGGGCATCTACCCAAAAGATCAAAAGTCACTTTATGAAAAAAGACACCCACACTCAAATGTTTACAGCAGCACAATTCACAATCGCAAAGCTGTGGAAACAACCCAAGTGCCCATCAATTCATGAGTGGATTAATAAAATGTGGTGTATGTATACCATGGAGTACTACTAGCTTTAAGAAACAATGGTGATATAGCACTCCTTGTATATTTCTGGATAGAGCTGGAACCTATTCTACTAAGTGAAGTATCTCAAGAATGGAAAAACAAGCACCACATGTACTCACCAGCAAATTGGTATTAACGGATCAACACCTAAGTGGACATACAGGAGTAACATTTATCAGGTGTCGGGAGGGTGGAGGGGAAGGAGGGATGGGTATATACAACTACAAGGAGTAAGATGTGCCACGTTTGGGGGATGGACACACTTGAAGCTCTTACTCAAGGGGTGAGCAGGCACGGGCAATATATGTAACCTTAACACTTGTACCCCATAATATACTAAATAAAAATAATAATAAATAAAAAATAAAAGGGGCACCAAGGCCAGGCACAGCAGCTCACACCTATAATCACACCATTTTGGGAGGCTGAGATGACAGGATCGATTTAGCCCAGACGGTCGAGCTACAGAGAGCTATGATTGAGCCACAGCACTCTAGCTTGGGCAAGAAGACCAAGACTCTGCCAAAAAATGAAAAAAAGGCCAGGCAACAGCTCACCTATAATCCTAGCACTTTGGGAAGCTAAAACAGGAGGATCACTTGAGGAGTTCAAGACCAGTCTGAGCAACATGACAAGACCCTCATCTCTGTAAAAAATAGAAAAATTAGCCAGGCATAGTGCATGCACCTGTAGTCTCAGCTACTCAGGAGGTTGAAGCAGAAGGATTGTTTGAGCCTAGGAGTTTGAGGCTGCAGTGAGCTACAAATGCACCACTGCTCTCCAGCTTGGTGACAGAGAAAGACCCTATCTCAAAAACAAAAGGGGCAGGGGCGCGTTGGGTCTGCACAGGGTTAAGAAATAATGACAAGAATGTTCCTGAAGATAAATCTGATCATAATTACTGGCACAAAAATGGAAATGTTTCTTCCAAATAATTTTTCCTACAATTTGCATTATAAAACGATAAACTTTTAGGAGATAAAAGTATAGAATTAGCAAGTATCCATCAAAACTAAAGATGACAACTAGCAACAAATAAATTTGTTCTCTACATTTGCTGTATACATGTTATCATTACAGAATAACCATTCATTAGGGTCAAAAAACACAACAATCCCTAACACTGTAATAATACTGCTCTAAAAAATTCAGTTTATACAGTAAACGTAAAAAGAAAAACTGACATTTATTGATTTAAAATTTTGCTTTGTTAACCTTGGCAATAATCCTATAAAGTAATCCATTATTATTTTTTTAGATACATTATTTTCATTTTTTAGAGATCAACACCTAAGTGGACATACAGGAGTAACATTTATCAGGTGTCAGGAGGGTGGGAGGGGGAAGGAGAGGATGGGTATATACAACTACAAGGAGTAAGATGTGCCACGTTTGGGGGATGGACACACTTGAAGCTCTTACTCAAGGGGTGAGGCAGGCACGGGCAATATATGTAACCTTAACACTTGTACCCCCATAATATACTGAAATAAAAATAATAATAAAAAATAAAAATAAAAAGGGGCACCAAGGCCAGGCACAGCAGCTCACACCTATAATCACACCATTTTGGGAGGCTGAGATGACAGGATCGATTTAGCCCAGACGGTCGAGGCTACAGAGAGCTATGATTGAGCCACAGCACTCTAGCTTGGGCAAGAAGACCAAGACTCTGCCAAAAAATGAAAAAAAAGGCCAGGCACAGCAGCTCACACCTATAATCCTAGCACTTTGGGAAGCTAAAACAGGAGGATCACTTGAGGAGTTCAAGACCAGTCTGAGCAACATGACAAGACCCTCATCTCTGTAAAAAATAGAAAAATTAGCCAGGCATAGTGGCATGCACCTGTAGTCTCAGCTACTCAGGAGGTTGAGGCAGAAGGATTGCTTGAGCCTAGGAGTTTGAGGCTGCAGTGAGCTACAAATGCACCACTGCTCTCCAGCTTGGGTGACAGAGAAAGACCCTATCTCAAAAACAAAAAGGGGCAGGGGGCGCGTTGGGTCTGCCAGGGTTAAGAAATAATGACAAGAATGTTCCTGAAGATAAATCTGATCCATAATTACTGGCACAAAAATGGAAATGTTCTTTCCAAATAATTTTTTCCTACAATTTGCATTATAAAACGATAAACTTTTAGGAGATAAAAGTATAGAATTAGCAAAGTATCCATCAAAACTAAAGATGACAACTAGCAACAAAGAAATTTGTCTCTACATTTGCTGTATACATGTTATCATTACAGAATAACCATTCATTAGGGTCCAACAAGCACAAACAATCCCTAACACTGTAATATACTGCTCTAAAAAACTCAGTTTATACAGTAAACTTAAAAAGAAAAAACTAACATTTATTGATTTAAAATTTTTGCTTTGTTAACCTTGGCAATAATCCTATAAAGTAAATGCCATTATTATTTTTTAGATACCATTATTATTTCCATTTTTAGATGACAAAACTAAGGCTTATAGAGGTTAAGTGACTGGGTCAAGATCAAAGCCAGAATTCAGCTGAGAGTAAGACCTAGAAACCATCTTATCAATCATAGATGACATGATCATTCACTTGCTACGTGATTGTATTTTTTTCTTTCGTTTCTTGAGACAGCCTCGTTCTGTCAACCCACCAATGTAGAGTAGATTGGTGTCATCATAGCTTACTGCAACCTCAAACTCCTGGGCTCAAGTGATCCTCCTGCCTCAGCCTCCCCAGTAGCTAGGACTACAGGAGCACACCACAATGCCTGGCTAATTTTTCTATGTTTAGTAGAGATAGGGTCTTGTTCTTGCTCAGACTGGTCTCAAACACATGAGCTCAAGTGATCCTCCCGCCTGGGCCTCCCAGAGTACTAGGATTACAGACATGAGCCATGGCACCCAGCCTGCTATGTGATGTTAAGCAAGTCATGAAACCCCTCTAAATTTCAATTTCTATATCAGTAAAATTGAACTACTGGGAAGAGTAAATGAAATAAAGTATGTACTACTACCACCAACTACCAGGTCTTGCACTGAATGCCTACAACACACTGTATGAGCTCAGTAATGATGGGTGCTGTTGTTCTATTAACATATATACTCCATACAATTCCACAATGGTGGCTATTGTTATTCTATATATATTATTCTCCAATTGTTTTACTGGCAATGCAATTCCAACCAAAATTCCAATATTAATATTTTAAAGGCGAATCTTTTCTTGTTCTTTCTTATGCCTTAAAATACTAAAATATTTGGCAATCTCTATCAAATTTACCATTTACCAACTGACTCAGCAATCCTGCTTAATTTATTTATCCCAAAATATGTCTGCACATGTATGAAATTATATTAATATATGTACAAGGTTACTTAAAATGTTAAAAGTACCTTTTTGTACAAACAGAACCTTAATATAGTAAACGTTCTGTTTCTGTGGAAAGTATTCCAATTTCCATTATCCTTACCTCCAATCTTTGTGTCTGATCCTTGCCCAAAAGGTCACGAACTTCTTCATTATATATTTCCAAATAAGACACTCGAACCAAAAATCTATAAATATCATTTTTAAAACATAAAAGAGAGTAAAACATTGATAAGAACAGTTTTAAAATGTCTATAAAATTTATACCGATATGCATTTCCTGTGTTTATACTTCTCAATGTCAGAAAATAAAAGAATTCTCTTTTACCGTGTATCACCCTCTGCTTTTGCAATATGACCAAATATGTGAGCAAATGAATTGGGAATTATTCCTCTAAGTTCAGGAACAGCTCGAACACCTTCCATGGTAAAAGTTTTGCCTGTTCCAGTTTGTCCATATGCAAAAATAGTCCCTGAAAATGATGAAGAGAATCAGTCACTTTTCAGAGTCTAATATGCTAATAAAAATAGCTCTTAAAATTAATTCCTTTGACACTGACACAATTTCTTCCATGGATTCAAAATTTCTTCTAGCATAAATTTCACCTTTACCATAAACAATCACAGTAAGTATTCTGTGCCATAGGAACAAAGCACTGTTAAGGCACCAGAGTCAATAAGACATTCCTAATTATTAATTTAAAAGTACCAAGCCTTAAATGTAAAAACATTATAGTACAGCAAACTATAAGAAATATCTTGTAATGTATACACTGATTACTTATTGTGGACATTAAACTGGAGAAGGCTGTATAAATGCAGCAACAGAATGCAGGCTCCACAGCAGAAAAACCTCATTCTGAATCCACATGGGCCACAGTTTAGCCCCTTGACCTTGGACAAGTTACCTGCCCAGAGACTGTCTTCCCCATGGTAAAATGGGGATAAGAATCACAACTCTACATAGACAGTAAGAACAGGGAACAATTTTCTTCAAATGACCAACAGGATGCCTGGCAGACAGTACCAGTAAATGACAGCTTTTTCCCTCTTAGTCCTAAAATAAGTACATTATTTTTTGAAAAGTTGTTTTCATGTAACAGCTGTAAGAAAAAGGGGGCATTAACAAAAAGGTGAAATGCAATTACCACAAGTAAATGCAGATACAATTTAAACTTTCTAAATACCTAAATTCATTTATTCAACAAATATTTACTATACACCTGAGGTTGGCACTTTGGTAGGTACCAGAGACAGTAACAAAACAAACACATCTGCAATCTTATGCTATGTATAATCCTGGGAGGAGATATTGGTGGAATAATTATAAGCATGATGAGTACTGAGAATGAGAAACACAGAGTTCTAGATGCAAGTGAAGCAGTGAGCCCCAACCCCTTTTTGGCACCAGGGACCAGTTTCATGGAAGACAGTGTTTCCACGGACTGGGGGCATGGGGTGGTTTCAGGATGATTCAAGTGCATTACATTTACTGTGCACTTTATTTCTATTATTATTACATTGTAATGTATAATAAAATAATTATACAACTCTCCACAATGCAGAATCTATTGCCGCCACTGATGTGACAGGAGGTGGAGCTCAGGCGTGATGCGAGTGACAGGGAACAACTGTAAATAGAGATGAAGTTTCACTCACTCACCCAGCACTCACCTCCTGCTGTGTGGCCTGGTTCCTAACAGGCCATGGACTGGTACTGGTCCACAACCCAGGGATTGGGGACCACATGAGTAAAGGATACAAACTAAACAGAGGAATTAAAGTGAGAGGAAGGGGGAGAGGAGGTCAGGGAAGGCCTTTTAAAAATAAGTGAGGTTTAGATCTGCAATGCAAATAAGAATCAAATAAGACCAGAGTGGGCAGCAAAGGCAAGAGGGAGAAAGGAAATTTTAAGGAAATGAGACCAGAATGGAAAAAACAGAGATGGAAAAGGAAAGCAGATGCAGACAGAGCTAGAGAAACTAGCAGGGTCTTAATCATATAGGGTCACGAAGACCACATTATAGTTTTTAGACCTAACCCTAAAAGCAACATGAAACCATAAAATGATTTTTCAGTCAGAGGAGTAATATCAAGATCACTCTGGCTATACTGTGAACAAAGAATTAGAAGAAAGCAAGGGTAGATGTGGAGTAAACAGAGGGCTGGAGTAGTTGGCCAGGACACAGTGCAGTATGACAAGATAGCCTGGGATGTGATAGCATAAATGAAAAAGGTTCCTCAGTTATTACAACTCTACTCAGTTAATCTCAACTTTTTTCAGACTTTTTGTGAAAATAAATTAATCATACAAGAAGCTATTTTTTACATATGGAAATTAAAAAGTCTCAACTTTTTTTTTTTTTTTTTGAAACTGACTGTTTCAACTCTGCCATCAGGAATATAACTTACTGCATTCAAAGGAGCTGCAAATATTATGAACTCATAGACTGAATTTCACAACAGACACACTGAATTATTAAATAAAAAATAAGCTTTATAAGGATAACAGCTACCATTTACTCATCATTTACTATGTGCTATGCTAAGTACTTTACGTGCATTTTTATTTTTATGCCAATCCTAAGACATAGGCACTATTTGTATTCCTATAGTTTATTTGGGGAAACAGAAGCTTTGAGAGGTTAAGCTCTGTTAAGTTTTGTTTTTCATTTTATTTTATTTTTTAAATTATAGACAGGGTTTTACTCTGTTGCCCAGGCTGGCGTGCTGCAGTGCAGTGGCATGATCATAGCTCACTATAACCTCAAACTCCTGGACTCAAGCAATCTTCCCACCTTATCTTCCCAAGTAGGTAGGACTACATACAGGTACAAGTCACCACATTTGGCTAATTTTTTAATTTTTTGCTAAGATGAGGTCTCACTATATTGCCCAGGCTGGTCCTGAACTCCTGTCTTCAAGCAATCCTCCTGCCTCAGCCTCCCAAAGTGCTGGGATTAAGGTGCTGGCCTTATTTTCATTTTCTATTTTCTCTCCAGATTATTTCTATTGGTTTGTTTTCAAGTTTACTATCCTTTCTTCCCTTTATATAGATCCATATTTCCATCTAATACCATTTTCCTTCTGCCTGAAAAACTTCCTTATTATTTCACCAGTATAGGTCTACTGGTGATGAATTCTTTCAGTTTTTATAGTCTAAAAAAGCATTTATTTAACCTTTGTTTTTGAAATATTTTCACTGAATATAGGATTGTAGGTTGATGGTTTCTCCTTTCTATACTTTAAAGATACGATGTTACTCTCTTCTCACTTGCATTATTTCTAACTAGAAATCCACTTTCATCCTTATCATTGCTCTTCTATACATCAACATGTCTTTCCTTTCTCTGGTTGTTTTTTAAGACTTTTTTTTTTTTTTTTTTGAGACAAGGTCTCACTCTGTTGCCAGGGCTAGAGTACAGTGGTATCATCATAGCTCACTGCAACCTCAAACTCCTGGGCTCAAGGGACCCTCCTGCCTCAGCCTCCCCAATAGCTGGGACTATAGGCATGTGCCACCATGCCTGGCTAATTTTTTAAATTTTTTTGTAGAAACCAGGTCTCACTGTTGCCCAGGCTGGTCTCCAACTCCTGACCTCAAGCAATCATGCCACCATGGCCTCCCAAAGTGCTAGGATTATAGGCGTCAGCCATTGCACTTGGCCTGATTTTTTTCTTTATCACAGGTTTTGTGTAATTTGATTATGATGTGTCTTGGTGTATTTTTCTTCATACTTCTTGTTCTTACATTTCATTAAGCTTCTTGTAGTTTGCAGTTTTCATCAAATTTGGGAAAATTTCAGCCCTTTTTTATTTTCAAATACCTTTTCTGTCCCCAAAGTAGGTTTCAGAACAAAGAATATTATCAGGGATAAAGACAGTAATTTCATAATGAAAAAGAGGTTAATTCATCAAGAAGACATTAAAATCTTAATCACTGTGATATTTATAAAAATGGAAATAACTATAAAAAAAAATCTTAATCAATTATGTACCTACTCACAACGTTTCAAAATACACAAAGCATGGCGCATGCCTGTAGTCCCAGCTACTCGGGAGGCTGAGGCAGAAGGATCACTGGAGCCCAGGAGTTTGAGGTTGCTGTGAGCTAGGCTGACGCCACGGCACTCACTCTAGCCTGGGCAACAGAGTGAGACTGTCTCAAAAAAAAAAAAAAAATACACAAAGCAAAAACTAATAGAAATAAAAAGAATAGGCAAATCCAAAAATATAGTCAGAGAATTCGATAGCCCTCTCACAATAATTCATAGGCCAAGTAGACAAAATAAGTAAGTACATATAAGATTTGAACAACACTATGAAACAAATTGACCTATTGGACATTTATAGAACACTTTCATCCACCAACAGTGGAGTATTCATCCTTTTCAAGTACACAAAACATTTAAAGATAATCAACTACATTCTGGGCCATGAAACAAGTCTCAATAAATTTAAAAAGATTCAAGTCATACAGAGCATGTTCTGGGACTAAAATGGGATTAAATTAGAAATCAGTAACAGAATCTCTGGACAATCTCAAAATATTTGGAAACTAAGTAACACATTTCTAAAGAACCCAAGGATCAAAGTAAGGAGGTAGAAAGTATTTTGAACTATATGAAAATGAAAACATAGTGTGTCAAAATCTGTAGGATGCCACTAAAACACTACTCAGGGATTAAGTTATAGCATTCAATGAAATTAAATTTAAATTTAACTTAAATTTCTTTAAATTAAATTAAAGAAAAAAACCAGATAACCTGAATAATCCTATATCCATTAAACAAATTAAATCTATAGTTAAAAACCTTCCCACAAAGGAAACTCCAAGGCCAGGTGGCTTCACTGATTAATTCTACCAAACATTTAAAGAATAAATAATCCCAATTCCAGACGAGTTTTTTTTAGAAAATTGTAAAGAAGGGAATACATCTCAACTCATTCTATGAAACTGGCATTATCCTGATACCAAAAGCAGACAAAGACATTAGAAGAAAACTACATACTCATATTCCTCAGGAACATAGATGCAAACATCTTAAATAAAATCAAGCAAATCAAATCTAAAAATATATGAAAAGAACAATAGCATGATCAAGTGGCAAAGCTAATTTCACATTTGAAAACCAATTAAGGACAAGCACAGTGGCTCATGCCTGTAATCCCAGCATTTTGGGAGGCAAAGGTGGAAGAATCACTTGAGTCCAGGGGTTTGAGACCAACCTGGGCAACAGTGAGACCCCATCTCTACAAAAAATAAAAATATTAGCCAGGCATGGTAGCGCATGCCTATAGTCCCAGCTACTTGAGAGGCTGAGGCAGGAGAATTGCTTGAGCCTAAGAGTTTGAGGCTGCAGTGAGCTATAAGCATGCCACTGTACTCCAGCCTGAGTGACAGAAACCCTATCTCTCTCTCTCCCTATCTCTCTCTCTAAAAAAAAAAAAAATCAATGTAATTGCCCATATTAATAAACTTTTACCCCAAAAAACATGAATTCAATAGGTGCAAGAAAAATCGCATTTGACAAAATCCAATATACTTTACTAAAAAAACTCTCAACAAATGAAGAACAGAAGCAAATTTCCTCAGTCTGATAAAAGGTATCCGTGAAATACCTATAAATAACATCAACCTTACTAGTAAAAGAATGAATGCATTTTCCCCAAGATCAGGAACAAGACCAAAATGTTTACTCTCACCACCTCTATTCAACATTTACTAAAGGTTCAAGCCAGTCAAATCAGGCAACAAAAATAAATTAAAGGCATAAGGATTGAAAAGAAAAAAGTAAAAACTGTCTTTACTTTCAGACAACATAATCTTATATACCGAAAATCTTGTGGAACTTACAAAAAAAAAATAGTAATAACCAAAACAAAAAATCTACTAGACTTAATAAGGAAGTCTAATAAGGTTGCAGGATACAAGGTCAATATACAAAAATCAATTGCAAAACACAATGAAAATCAATTCAAACCCACTAGGCTGACTATAATCAAAAAGACACTAACAACTGTTGGCAAGGATACGGAGAAATTAGAAACCTCCCATATCGCTAGTGGGAATGTAAAATGGTGCAGCTATTGTGGAAAATAGTTTGGTAGCTCCTCAAAGGTTAAAGAAAGTTATCCTATGACCCAGCACTTCCACTCTTAGGTATATATGCCGAAAAGAATTAAAAATATATGTTTATACAAAAATGTTCAATGAACATTCACAAGAATGTTCAAAGTAACATTATTCATAATAGCTTAAAAACAGAAACAACACAAATGTTCACCAACTAATAAATGGATAAACAAAATATAGTATATCTCTACAATGAAATATCATTCAGCCAGAAAGAGTAATGAATTGCTGATATATGCTACAATAGGGATGAAACTTGAAAACATTGTTGTAAGTGAAAGAAGTCATTCACAAAAGGCCATATATTGTATAATTCTATTTATAGGAAATGTCCAGAACAGGCAAACTCATGGATACAGAAAGCAGATTAATGATTGCTTAGCTAGCATTGAGGTGGGTGGTGGATTAGGAGTGACTGCTAATGGATACAGAGCTTCTTTTGGGGTGATGAAAATATACTGGGAACAGAAAAGTGCTGACAGTTGCACAACACTGTGAATGTACTAAAAACCTATAAAACGTACACTGTAAAATAGTTAAAATAATAAATTTATGTTGTTTGAATTTTATCTCAATAAAAAAGCTACCTAAAGAAATCAACTGCATTTCTATATATTAGCAATGTACAATCCAAAAATGAAATTGTGAAAACAATTCTATTCACAATAGCATCAAAAAATACTTAAGACTAAATTAATCAAAAGCAGTGCAAGGCCTACACACTAAAAGCTACAAAACACTGATGAAAGAAATTAAGCAAAACATAAATAAATGGAGACAGATATCATGTTCATGGATTGGAAGACTCAATATTATCAGAATAACAATTCAACACAATCCTTATCAAAATCCTAGCAGGATTTTTGTGGAAATTGATAAGGTGATTCTAAAATGTATATGAAAACACAACTGACCCAGTAAAAGCAAAACAATTTTGAAAAAGAATAATAAAGTTGAAGAATGTATACTACCTAATTTCAAAATGTATTATAAAGCCACAGTAATCAAGACAGGATAGACATGAAATAGAATAGACAGTCCAGAATTAAGCCCACACAATTGTAGTCAACTGATTTTGGACAAAAGTGCCAAGTTAATTGAATAGGGAAAGAACAGTCTACTCAGCAAATGATGCTGGAACAAGTGGATATCCATTGGGAAGAAGAAAAAATAAATGAAGGAAAGAAAGAAAGAAAAATAATTTGGACCCTACTTCATCCCATATAAAAGTTAATTCAAAATGGATCACAGACCTAAATGTATTCAAAATGGATCACAGACCCAAAACTATTCAATTTCAAGATGAAAACATAGAAGAAAATCTTTGTGGTCTTGGGTTTTGCAAAAGTTTCTTAGCTGTATTACCAAAAGCATAATCTACTTTTAAAAAACTGATAAACTGAACTTACAAAATTCAAAACTTTTTCTCATCAAAAAACATCATTAAGAAAATGAAAAGACAAGCCATAGATTGGGAGAAAATATTTGCAAATCACATTATCTGATCAAATATTTCAATCTAGAAAATACAAAAAATAAAAAGATAGCCCACAAAATGTTTAAAATCTACAAAATATTTTAAGAGACATTTCACTAAAGAAAACATTCAAATGACTAACAATTACAGGGATAGATACTCAACATCTTTAGTCATTAAGTAAAAACAAGTTCAAACATAATGAGCTATCAGTACAGTTCCTCTAGAATGGCTATAATTTAAAAACTTTACAATTTAAGTGTTGTCAAGAATGTAAGGAAACTGGAACCCTCATATAGTACTGGTGGGGGGGAAAAAAGTAGTATAGTCACCACCATAAACAGACATTTATGATTACACCGCACAATTTCACTCCTAAGTATCTAACCAAGAGAAACTTTAAAATGTCTGCACAAAGACAGACATATATATAGGAAAGTTCACAGCAGCATTATTTATAGTAGCCAAAAGATTGGAAACAATCCAGATTTCCATCAGCTAGTGAACACAAAAACAAAATGTAGTATATTCATAGAATGGAACACAATCCAGCAATAAACAGGTACAAACTACTGATATTTTGAAAAAATGGATGAACTTCAAAAACATTATGCTAAGTGAAAGAAAACATTTTAAAATGACATATTAGGCCAGGTGTGGTGGATCACGCCTGTAATCCTAGCACTCTGGGAGGCCGAAGCGGGTGGATCCTTTGAGCTCAGGAGTTCAAGACCAGCCTGAGCAAGAGCAGGGACCCTGCCTACTAGAAAAATAGAAAGAAATTAGCTAGACAACTAAACTATATATATATATAAACTTAGCTGGGCAGGTGGCGCATGCCTATAGTCCCAGCTAGTCAGGAGGCTGAGGCAGTAGGATTGCTTGAGCCCAGGAATTTGAGGTTGCTGTGAGCTAGGCTGACACCACAGCACTCCAGCCTGGGCAACAGAGTGAGACTCAGTCTCAAAAAAAAAAAAAATGACATATTATATGATATGACTTAGGTGAAACTTAAAGAAAAGGCAAAACTACAGTAACAGAAAGCAGATCAATGGCTGCCTGGGGGTGGGACTGCAAACAGACAAAAAGGAGCTTTTGGGGATAATAGGAGTGTTCTAAACTGGATTGTGGTGATGGTTTCACAACAGTATATATTTACCACAACACGTCAAACTGTATAGTTTCAATAAGTGCATTTATGGTGCATAAATTATGCCTCAATAAAGATATTTTTTAAAAAGCAAACTATATATTCACTTACCATTGTAGCCTTCAAGAACAGAATCAATAATAGGTCTTGCAGTTAAGTTATAAACATCAAGTTGTTTACTCTCTGGTCCAAAAACAGTATCAAAAGTAAATGTCTTTGGAGGCTCATTGGAAGAGTCAGTCTTGTGCACAGTGATGGTTCCCCTCATCTCATCCACACTGACAGCTTGTTTGTAGCACATGGATTTCTCTCTCTCATTGAGGGGCCGACACCTAACAACCACTTTCACATTATCGCAGCTTTCTGGCTTCTCTGATTTATTGATCTGGTGGAGACAATGTTTAGAAATAATAAAAAGAACACTTACTTTTACCCTCAACAGATTAAATCTATAATTTGAAAAAGGCTACTTTGCTATCTCAGTGCCTTGCACACATTAAGGACTTCATAAATATTTGTTAAATGCAATTAAAGATCTTACACATATACAGAAAAAATGTATTAAAAGATACAAAGAGGAGGCTGGGCACAGTGGCTCCACCTGTAATCCTAGAACTCTGGTAGGCCAAGGCGGGAAGATCGCTCAAGGTCAAGAGTTTGAAACTAGCCTGAGCAAGAGTGAGACCCTGTCTCTACTAAAAATAGAAAAAATTAATTGGCCAACTAAAAATATATAGAAAAAATCAGCCAGGTATGGTGGTGTAGTCCTGTAGTCCCAGCTACTAGGGAGGCTGAGGCAGGATGATTGCTTGAGCCCAGGAGTTGGAGGTTGCTGTGAGCTAGGCTGACGCCACGGCACTCTAGCCTGGACAACAGAGTGAGATTCTGTCTTAAAAAAAAGAGATACAAAGAGGAAAATAGTTTCTTTTACACAAAAGAGGGGAGAAAAATATCTAATTTACATTTGTAGTAAATGCTGTACAAGCAGAAAATGAATACTATAAGCAGAAAATGAATACCAGTATACTATAGGTTGTCTTTCTGCACAAAACTCCCTGACATCCTCTCTGAGTTTCCTGCCTATAGGAAAACACGTGAACATGATCAACAAATTTAATTCAAGAATATAGAAGGTCCTTTGTTTCCCTAAGACTTCTAGTTTTATTTCCTAAAATTCATTGGCGAAAAGTTTTTTGTCATGTAAAAATCCACGTATGGTTTATCTTCTCTGCAGAAGACAATAACTTAAAGACGGAAAAGAAAATCTAATGGCAGAGAAAAATATCTTAGTATGACCTAACCTTATGAATATTTGTATAAGTTTCAATTTCTGAAATTTTGTGATTAAGAATCTATAGTAAAACACAATTCCATTATTGAAGTGAAAAAGTTCAACAGCTTAGTTGAACAGATACTTGTTAAATTCCTACTGTTTCAGATATTCTTCTTAAATTCCTACTATTTCAGATATTCTTCTAAGTATTAAAGAGAAATACAAGCCACTGCCATTGACAAGTAACAGATTATATCAGTACAATAGGCTTCTCTCCATCTCCACCTTCATCACCCTAATCTAGGTCACCATTATCTTGGCCCCGGATTACAGCCTCCTAACTATACTCCTGCATCTATTTAGATGATTGCCCTACAGTCTGTTCTCCACATTGCAGTCAGCATCAACACAAACCTAACCATGTCACTCTCCTACTTAAAAATTCTTCAAAGGTTTCCCACAGATCTTAGGATAAAAATCAAAATCCTTAAGATGGCCTGTAAAATATGACTCCTACCCACGTGTACTTCTCTGGGCTTATTCCACAAGATACATTGCCTGGCTCATTCTGCCCCAGCCACGCTGGACATCTTGGCCTTTTCTAGTCCCCATGCTCCTTCTCCCCACTGGCCTTTCCATGTGCTGTTCCTTCTACCTAGAACATTCCTCAATACCTTCTTCACTTAGTTAACATCTATTTATCCTTGGGATCTCAACAGCCACTTCATCTGTGAAGAATTCCCTGACTAGGTCAAATACTTTTATAGGCTCTCAGAGCGTCCTGTACTCTCCTTCATAGACTCGCTTTTACTTTTGTCTGTTCCTTATTTGATTAATGTCTGTCTTTCTCTGTCTACATCAGAGGTTGCAAACAGGTAGTCAAGGGGCTGAATTCACCCCACAAATTTCTTTTGTTAGACTCCCAGTATTTAAAAATCTTTTGAATTAGTTGCTAAAATCGAGAAATTTCATGAAACAACAATTTCTAAAGTCTCCTGAAAAAAATAGATGATCTGATATCCGTAGGCCATTATTCCTACCTGGCAACACTTTCCAAACACCAGACTCTATTTCCATCTATTGTAGGACACCCACCCACCTCATTCATTAAGGTTATGTGTCTTATCTCTGTAAATGTGTACGATTTTCACCCATGCCCAATAAGGCAAGCTTCTCTCTTTCCAAGTTCAAGAACCTGCCTAGCTTTGCTCAATATCGTATCTCCAGTGCCTAGCATGTGGCTGGCGCACCACATTTATGAAATGAACAACTTGAAAGCAATGAACAAGAACAACTATAGAACATTTAATGCTAAATATCAAGCACTGCCCTTCAAGTCTCCTGTGCATTATTATCTTACTTCGCCCTGACAGCAACGCCATGAGGAAAAGTTTAATTATGCGGGAACTAAGGATCCAGACAGATTAATTAATAATTATCTGAGGACTCACAAGCAGTAAATAACCGGCCATGGCTCAAGTTTCCTCCACGACCCTTTATTGGGCTTACAATGTCCCATTACTAAGTGCACAATAGCGGTCTGTGGAATCCTGGAAGACAACATACCACCACCACGACACACAAAGACACCTACAGGTTACACTCCGCACTGTCAGCTAAAGCGCCCCAAGAGGAATGACAGCTCGAGCCTGGGAGAGTCTGAGTCAGGGGCCTGGACAGGGGCAGGCGGGCCTGGAACACGGACCTGAGGCGGCCTCAGGTGCGCCGCTCCCAGAAGCCCCGCTCGGCAGGTAGGGCCGGGAGCCGCAGCGCATCCTCCGGCACCGCACCGCGCCTTTATGCCAGCGGCGCAGGCCCCACGGGTCGCAGCCGCGACGAAGGCAGCGGGACTCGCCCCCGGGCCCCTCCCCGGGCCGGCCGGACCCCCGAGGACCCGGGGCCGCCCCGCCCAGGCTCCCGAACCGCCCAGGCCCACCGAGCCGGCCCTGCCCCGCCCCGCCCGCTCCGCGCCTCCATGGCAACGGCCGCGCCCCCGGCCGGGCCGCCGGGATGAGGAGAAACCCCACGGCCGAGCGACTCTCCTCACCGGCATTGTGGCCCCTCCCGTGCCCGACGGACGTCCCCGCTCGGGGTGCGCCCAACCACGCCCGGTTCCCGGGAAAGGCTTGCCACAGACAACCGAAACCCCTCCTCAGCGTTCTCGAGACTGCGGCTCCGCGGGAGAGAGCGCGCAGTGCGCAGGCTCACTCCGAGTCCGCCCGGCCCCGCCCCGCCCCGCCCCGCCCCAACCGCCGGCTCGCGCGGCTCCTTGAACCGCGCCTGCGCGGAGGCCTTTCGCGTCCATCTCCTAGGATGCCGGACTGAGGCTGCGCCTGCGCAGTGCTGTCGTTCCGAGGCGCTGGCCCCCTGACCCGCGCTGAGATGGGGACGGACACCTGGCAGCTCCCGGGTGGGGGGAGGCTCTTATAAATGGCAAGGCTCATCTTCCGGCTCGTGTGACACCCTGAATATTAAAAACAACGACGGCCATTGTGCATTGTGTCCCATCTAAATTCCTTTCATACATTATCTGGATTGATTGCTCACTTGTTCGTGACCTGGTTTACTAGTGGAAGGTGAGCTCCTGAGGATCGGTATTCTCAGGTGTATCTCCAGAGCCTGGAATAGAAACTGGCAGCGAGTGGATTTCAATGAATATTTGTGACAGAACCAATGATCTATCCTCTTTCCAGTCTGAACCTCATTTCAAGCTTTTCATGTCCACACTTGAAAGTGTAATCCCCCTTCATTCGCCCTGCCACCCCCTCAGACTTCCTTCATCTCAATAAACGGAAGCTGAATTCTGAAAATTGTTCAGATTAAAACTACAGTCTCTTTCCCTCATTCCCCATATCCCATCCTTCAATAGAGAGCCTGTTGGATCTATCTTCGAAGTGGAACCAGAGTTTGGCCACTTCAGAGCACCACCACCACCACCTCTCACATGCCTTACTACAACTGCACAGAACTGGTTTCTCTAATTGCATACTTGTTCCCTTTTAGTATCAGTATAATATATTTTCAACAAAGGAGCCAGAGCGATGGTGTTAAAACACAAATCACATGTTGTCTTTTCTCAGCTCAAAAACTCACCATTAATGTGAGGGGTTGCTGAGGAAGGAACACCGTTTGAGGCCAGAGGTGAAGACCAGCCTGGGCAACATAGCAAGACCCCAGCTCTACCACAACCTTCTTGATAGTGTCCTTGGAATCACACAAGTTTTTAATTTTGACGAAGTCAAATCTATATATTTTTGTTGTTGTTGTGCTTGTGGTGCATATGTGAGAAACCATTTTCTAACCCAAGAAGACTTACTCTTTGAAGAGTTTTATGGTTTTAGCACTTACATTCAGGTCTATAATCTGATTTATTTTTGTATATGGTGTGATGGAGGGGTCCAACTTCATTCTTCTGCATGTGAATATCCAGCTGTCCTAGCACCATTTGCTGAAAAGACTATTCTTGACTACCCTGAATATACCCAATAACTGATCTTGTCTGAAAAGACTATTCGTTGTTGCATTTGTTTGTTGGTTCTTTTGAGGCGGGGTCTTGTTCTGTTGCTGGAGCTATAGTGCAGTTGCATCATCATAGCTCACTGCAACCTCAAACTCCTGGGCTCAAGTGATCCTCCTGCCTCAGCCTCCCAAGTAGCTGAGACTACAGGTGCATGACACCAAACCCAGGTAAGTGTTTTGTTTTGTTTTGTTTTGTGGGTTTTGTGGTAGAGAAAGGCTTCCGATATTGCCCAGGCTGTTTTTTAATTTCTGGGCTCAAGTGATCCTCTCACCTCGGCCTCCAAAAGTGCTAGCATTACAGGTGTGAACCACTGTGCTCAGCCTGAAAAGATTGTTCTTTCCCCCACTGAAGTGATGATACCTTCATTGAAAATCAATTCTAGTTCATTGGCATATACATCTATCCCAATACCAGTACCACACTGTCTTGACTACTATAGGTTTGTAGTAAGTTTTGAAATCAGATAATGTGAGACCTCCAATTTTGTTCTTCTTTTTCAAAATTGTTTTAGCCATTCTGAATCCCTTGTACTTCCCTAGGAATTTTAGGAACACTTTGTCAATTTCTGCAAAAAGGCAGTTGGAATTTTACCAGGAAATATGTTGTATCTATAGATCAATTAGGGGAGCATTGCCATTTTAACAATTAATGTCTTTCTACTCATGAACACAGAATGTCTTTCCATTTAGTTAGGTCTTCTTTAATTACTTTTGGTGATGTTTCGTAGTTTTCAATGTACAAGTTTTACATTGTTTTTGGTTATATTTATTCCTAAACATTTTATTCTTTTTATGCTATTGTAGATGGAACTGTTTTCTTAATTTCATTTTCAGATTGTTCATTGATAGTGTATAGAAATAAAAGTAACTTGTATTGTACATTGATCTTGTACTATGCAACTTTTCTGAACTTATTTATTCTTCTAATAGTTTTTTTAGTGGATTCCTTAAGATTTTCTATATACAAGATCATATCATCTACAAATACAGATAGTTTTACTTCTTCCTTTCCAATGTGGATGCCTTTTATTTCTTTTTCCCTAGCTGGAACCTCCTGTACATTGTTGAACAGAAGTGGTGAGAACAGACATCATTGTCATGTTCCTGATCTTAGTTGGAAAATATTTGGTCATTTACCATTAGGTATGATGTTAGCTGTAGGTTTTTCACAGATACTCTTTATCAAGTTGGAAATTTTCCTAGTTTATGGAATGTTTTTTATTATGAGATGATGTCAGATTTGGTCAAATGCTTTTTCTGGATCTATTGAGATGATCGCGTGTCTTTGTCCATTATCAGATATATATTGATTTTCAGATGTTAAACCATGTCATTTTCTTTTCTGGCAGTGTCTTTGTGTGTGTGTGTGGGGGGGGTGGTTACAGCTCAGAGCGATACTTGCCTCATAGAATAAGCTGAGGTGGGGACACTGATCCCATCCTGTGGAACCCACCCTCGTTGACCTCAGCAAACCCTAATTACCTCCCAAAGGCCTCATCTCCAAATACCATCGCATTGGGGGTTAGGACTTCAATATATGAATTTTGGGAGGACACATTCAGTCCGTAACACAACCCTAGCAGACTAACGCAATTATTTAAACCATTCACATTTAATGTTATTATTGATAATATTTAAGTCTGCCATTTTGCTTTTTTTACTTTCTTTTTTTTTTTTTTTTAAATATGGAACGCTTCACGAATTTGCGTGTCATCCTTACGCAGGGGCCATGCTAATCTTCTCTGTATCGTTCCAATTTTAGTATATGTGCTGCCGAAGCGACCACCATTTTGCTTTTTGTTTTCTATATATCCTATATCATTTTTATTCTTCTGTTCCTCCTTCACTGCTTTGTTTTTCATTAAGTGAATATTTTCGAGTTTAAGATTTGAGTTTCTTTAATGATTGCTTTATTATTTTGTTGTTGTTGTTTGTTTTTAGAGAGACAGGGTCTGGCTCTGTCACCCAGGCTGGAGTGCAATGGCAAAATCATAGCTCACTGTAGCCTCAGACTCTTGGGCTCAAGCGATCCTCCTGCCTCAGCCTCACAAAGTTCCATGACTACAGGCATGAGCCATCGTGCCCAGCCTTGTTTTATTATATATTTTTTAGTTATTTTGTTAGTAGTTGCTCTAAGGCTTACAGTATACATCTTATCATAATCTTCATATTTATACTAATTCCAGTGCAATTTATAAATGTAATTTCCATATAGCTCTATTTCCTCCCCCCTTTTTATGCCATTATTATTATACATATTACATCTATATATGTCATAAGACAACAACATATTGTTATAATTTTTACATTATATTTTTTTTTT